ATGATAGGGGTAGGCAAACCAGTAAAGTGGTACATAAAGGCAAACCAACAATATCAATAGAGAGAGGGGGAGTGAAGAATAAGGAGAGGGGGAACAAGTTCCTGAAGATTGCATACACCAATCAAGTTTTATGCATATTGCATAAAACTTGAAGATGTAATTTTAAATGAGGTCATATTCCCAAGGGGCTACTCAATTTGGAGACGGGACAGAAAAATTAGGAAAGGCGGTGGCGTTGCTGTGCTAGTAAAAGAACACCTAAAGGTGAACGAAATAATGACTGCCAATCCACAAGAAGTTGACATAATAGCACTAGAGATCTGCCATGAGGATGATAAACTAATGATAATAAATGCATATAGTCCACCGCCAAGCAGTGCATGGTCAAAGGAGGAGCTAGATAGTAAACGTGAAGGTCTTATAACAATAATGAGAGAGATTATAGTGAGAGCGGATAACGATAGATCACGACTGTTGATAGTCGGTGACTTCAACTTGAAATCCATTGACTGGGAAGCATATGAAGCTAAAACAGAAGATTTTTGGACCTGTAAATTTGTAGACCTCATCCTGAAAAAATTCTTGTATCAACATGTTAAACAAGCTACGAGGATGAGGGAAGGGGACGTTCCCTCCATGCTAGATTTGATATTTACCAGGAAGGAGGAAGAGATATTTGACATTCAGTACCTTCCTCCCTTGGGTAAAAGTGACCATGTCTTTTTGGGAATAAAGTATGCAATGCGTTATAAGCTGGAAGAAAATAAGGAGGTTGAAGCAGTTGAAAAACCAGACTTCAGGAGAGGACATTATGGTGACCTTAGAAATTTTTTTAGTGAGTATAATTGGACAGACTTGATGCTAGGCAAGGAAGTGAATGAGATGTATGTCAAGTTTTGTTAAATATATGATAAATTCATAAAAAAATTTATACCAAAACAGAGATGCAGAACTAGGAAACAGGATTGGTTCAATAGAAATTGCGAGAGGGCTAGAGACCAAAAGACACAAAAATGGAATCAATACATTAAGAGGCCGAACCCCCAAACATACCAGCGATACAAAGATGCGAGAAACAACTACACGGCAGTGAGGAGAGAGGCAGAAAGAAATTTTGAAAAAGGGATTGCAGATAAATGTAAAACAGAACCGGGCCTATTCTACAAATTCATAAACAACAAATTGCAGGTAAAGGATAATATCCAGAGGTTGAAAATGGGAAACAGATTCACGGAAAATGAAAAGGAAATGTGTGAAACATTAAATGAAAAGTTCCAGTGTGTTTGTACAAAATGAAATCTTCAGAGAACCAGACACAATAAGAATTCCAGAGAACAACATAGAGCGGATAGAGGTGTCTAGAGATTTAGTGGAAAATATGCTAAAGGAGCTCGGTAAGAACAGAGCAGCTGGCCCAGATGGCGTTTCACCATGGGTTCTGAGAGAATGTACATCTGAGCTCAGCATTCCACTTCACCTGATCTTTCAGGCATCCCTGTGTACAGGAATCGTAGCAGACGTGTGGAAACAGGCTAACATAGTTCCAATCTACAAAAGTGGCAGCAGGGAAGATCCCCTCAATTATAGACCTGTATCATTGACAAGTGTAATAGTGAAAGTATTGGAAAAACTAATCAAAACTAAATGGGTAGAACACCTGGAGAGAAATGATATAATATCAGACAGACAGTATGGTTTTCGATCTGGAAGATCCTGTGTATCGAATTTACTCAGTTTCTATGATCGAACCACAGAGATATTACAGGAAAGAGATGGTTGGGTTGACTGCTTCTATCTGGACCTAAAAAAGGCTTTCGACAGAGTTCCACATAAGAGGTTGTTCTGGAAACTGGAAAATATTGGAGGGGTGACAGGTAAGCTTCTATCATGGATGAAAAATTTTCTGACTGATAGAAAAATGAGGGCAGTAATCAGAGGCAATGTATCGGAATGGAGAAATATCACAAGTGGAGTACCACAGGGTTCAGTTCTTGCACCAGTGATGTTTATTGTGTACATAAATGATCTACCAGTTGGTATACAGAATTATATGAACATGTTTGCTGATGATGCTAAGATAATAGGAAGGATAAGAAATTTAGATGATTGTCATGCCCTTCAAGAAGACCTGGACAAAATAAGTAGATGGAGAACCACTTGGCAAAGGGAATTTAATGTTAATAAATGTCATGTTATGGAATGTGGAATAGGAGAACATAGACCCCACACAACCTATATATTATGTGAGAAATCTTTAAAGAATTCTGATAAAGAAAGAGATCAAGGGGTGGTTCTAGATAGAAAACTATCACCTGAGGACCACATAAAGAATATTGTGCAAGGAGCCTATGCTATGCTTTCTAACTTCAGAATTGCATTTAAATACATGGATGGCGATATACTAAAGAAATTGTTCATGACTTTTGTTAGGCCAAAGCTAGAATATGCAGCTGTTGTGTGGTGCCCATATCTTAAGAAGCACATCAACAAACTGGAAAAGGTGCAACGACATGCCACTAAGTGGCTCCCAGAACTGAAGGGCAAGAGCTACGAGGAGAGGTTAGAAGCATTAAACATGCCAAAACTAGAGGACAGAAGAAAAAGAGGTGATATGATCACTACATACAAAATAGTAACAGGAATTGATAAAATCGACAGGGAAGATTTCCCGAGACCTGGCACTTCAAGAACAAGAGGTCATAGATTTAAACTAGCTAAACACAGATGCCGAAGAAATATAAGAAAATTCACCTTCGCAAATAGTGGTAGATGGTTGAAACAAGTTAAGTGAGAAGGTGGTGGAGGTCAAGACCGTCAGTATTTTCAAAGCGTTATATGACAAGTGCTGGGAAGACGGGACACCACGAGCGTAGCTCTCATCCTGTAACTACACTTAGGTAATTACACTTAGGTAATTACACACACACACACTGTACAAGAAGGTACATTGGGATTGTGAGGATACATAGCATAGTAATTACATTCTTGTAAAGCGACTAGTAGGCGCAGCGTTTAGGGCAGGTCCTTAATCTAAGAAAATTTTAAGTAGTAAATACTAGCAAAATTTATAAAAATAATATCAGGTACATAGCAAGAAAAAAAATAAGATGAGAGAAATTTGTAGGTATATTAAGGCACATAGGTAGCTCATATTGATTGCAATGACAGCTTGAATGGTAGTTAACAAAAATTAGTAGGCACAATACAGCATATGGCTTGCACATAAAAGGAAGACAGCAATGAACACAATAATAGAGTTGTTTGGATTAAGTACATAAAGATTGGGAGATTGGGTAACACTAAATACAGAGCAAATTTAAAGCTCAGTGTAGGAAAGTACGAAGATGAAATTAAATACTATTTGTTTTTGTTTTTGAATGAGGCAAAAGTTTGACAGCTTTTCAATTCACTAGGGAGTGAGTTCCATAGATTAGGTCTCTTTATTTGCCCAGAGTGTTTATACAGATTAAGTTTGACCCTGGGGATATCAAAAAGAGAGATTTATTTCTGGTATGGTGATAATGGGTCCTATTACATCTGTCCAGGGAGAGTTTCAGAGCATGGTTTGCATTTAAGAACAGGGTTTTGTATATGTAGTTGACACAGGAGAATGTGTGGAGGGAGTTAATATTTAGCATGTTAAGGGATTTAAACAAGGGAGCAGAGTGTTGTCTGAAAAGAAGAGTTTGTTATAATTCTGATAGTAGATTTTTGCTGTGTGATGATGGGCTTAAGGTGGTTTGCAGTGGTAGACCCCCATGCATAGATACCATAATTAAGATAGGGGTAGATTAGTGCATAATGTAGTGAGAGGAGAGCAGAGTTAGGAACATATCTGATTTTGGAAAGTATACCAACTGTCTTAGAGACTTTCTTAGTTATGTGTTGAATGTGGGTGCTGAAGTTGAGTCTCTTGTCTAGGAATAGGCCAAGAAACTTGCCATCATTTTTATTACTGATGTTAATGTTGTCTATCTGTAGCTGAATTGCATTCAATTTGCTTCCAAATAAGATGTAGTAGGTCTTTTCTATGTTTAGTGTTTGTTAGTTGACATCCATAAGTGGACTTTAATTCATTATTCACAACATTGTTTGGTGTAGGTGGGTATTTTATTTTTACCTTTCTTCTGACATATAAATAATTTAAGTTTATTAATTTATCTAGATGCTTTAAAAAAAAAAAAAATAGTGGGGGGGGGTTCCTCTATTCCAACATAATTGCACATTTTTGGAACCCTACACATGGGTTAACCCAAATGATGAATAGGTCGGTTTCCATTATGGTTCACAGCGGCCTCTGCTGCCACTGTGACGCCAAGGTCTGGGCCAATTTGGGGGCACTACTGCTGTAGTTGGGTTTAACTCTCAATAAGCCTGCTATGGTTTAGTTTAGTTCATTTATTATACCAACCACTTGGGTAGGACGGTAGAGCGACGGTCTCGCTTTATGCAGGTTGGCGTTCAATCCCCGACCGTCCAAGTGGTTGGGCACCATTCCTTTCCCCTCCCCCTAGTCCCATCCCAAATCCTTATCCTGACCCCTTCCAAGTGTTATATAGTCGTAATGGCTTGGTGCTTTCTCCTGATAATTACCTTACCTTATTATGCACCCCATACCCATCTTGTGGGCGGTAGTGGAAAGGGTTACAGAGGCACATAATGGGCTCAGGGACTGAACCCCACAATTCATTTAGCTAAGCTAGTTACAATCTTGATGAGCTAGTTACAACATTCAGTAAAAGTCGTCACATCAACAATGGGTTCGAGATCGACCTATGGGGAAAGCTTTATTGTGATTATGAAGCGGTCAGAGTTATTGCTTATACTCTCTCAAGTATCTGTCAATATCAAACCATAAACATTTGTCTACTGACTCTTACGGTACTTGCAGTTTGTATAAACGTTTTTATCTCCAGTGCTTACTTCAGACATCAACTGCAAACCAGCAGGAGCAGCAGATAATGGTGATGTTGATGTAGGGACGACAAAGTAACCCTCACCTTGCGTCTTGAAGACTCGGACTGGTGGGGAGCTGGGGTTGTTGACAAGGTGTACCAACCCGCCCGTACAACCATAGCTACCAACCCTGTGCAGTAATTGATTATTTAATAATACTAATCATTTATTTACAAGAGGGTACAGTGAGTCTGTGAGATTATATAATATTGGTATTTTTTACATTCTTGCAAAGACATTAACATGCACAGCGTTTCGGACAGGTACTTAATTTAAACAGATCTCTAACAGATTTAAACAGGGTAAGATTTACCTGTATTTTTTATTGTTATTTTCTGAGGTTGGAAGAAAACGTGCTCAGATTGGGGACTTGTTTATTTTGTAATGGTAAATAATAAATTAATAAATAATAAATTAATTATTATTATTATATAATAAATAATAATAACAAATAGTTTAATGATAAGCAATTAATTTTAGTGAATCAAATAGCTAATTAGGGTGAATGATAAATAATTATTGACTAATGCATAACAAAGTATTAAAGAATAATTAAAATGAATAATCATTATAATGATAAAGTATTAAATCAATTACAATTAACATCTATAGTTAGTAATTGAAAGTTGCATTAATTGAATTACACTAATTACAATTCATGGTGATATTTCTTAGCTATCTGCAGGCTTATCACTTTGGAGGTTCCGGCGGAGCACCCCCAAAGATACAGCAAATGCTTAGCAAGCTAGAACAAGTGCCCCTTGAGCCTGTCTGTGGGCCGTCCATTTGAAAAGAAAACAGAGGATGCAGAGGATCCCGGGAGGAGGGTGGGCGTTTTGTAAGTGAGCAGCTGCTTGCTTGTCGGGAAGAGGGGCCACGCAGTCTGCAGGCCGAGCGTATATAACCTCGGCCCATTGCGCGCGCAGCTTGGGCGGTTAAAGTCGGCTTCCAGACACGTTTTCTCTTCCTCAGAAAACCCACCGTTTTTGGGAAAAACAGTGTTCTTATACAGTATACAAGAGATCTTATATTCTTGCACAGCCACTAGCAGGCGTAACGTTTCGGGCAAGTCCTTAATCTTAATTTTCCCTGGAATACGACCCGCCAAATCGTATAACCCCGGCCAGGATATGAACTCAGGATAAATAATAATAATAATAATAATAACAATAATAATAATTTATTTAGGAAAAGTACATACATAGTTGCAGAGTTACAGTACAAATATTCTGTTTGATTTAAAGATAGAGATAGTACATGCAATACCTAAAGCCACTAATACGCATAGCGTTTCGGGCAAGGTGAGGTGGGGAAAAACAACACCTAGACTCAAACTTAATAGTAATTGAGCTTAAAGTATAAATTGCGTTGAAAGAAAAAAATAAAATATAAAAAAGGGGGGGGGAGGCCGGACATTGAAATTGAAATAAGTTTATTGAGGTAAAATACACACAAAGGATGAGGTAGCTCAAGCTATTCTCACCCCGTTCAGTACATCGTGTTAATACATACATAGATACACATCACAAAAAATAAACATATTACCAAACATTCTGAGAGATAAACATATACATTCCTCCTTAACACAAGTAGTATGGTATCAGACGTACACACAAATACTTTTATGACCTTATACCATTATGACCTAGGTATACTGTATAGACAATTTGCAAGAGACATGCAGATAATTCAACAAAAGATTACAGTCTTGATGCAAAATTCTTGTATCTCTCAAGAATATCATCAACCTTTCCGTTGTGACACATCCAAGCTATTTACATACAAGAGTTTACATACAAAACTCAGATTGGGGACATAAGGACATTTGTTCAGGAACAGTCCTTATCTCAGTGTTTCTATATACATTAATCAACGGAAAATCAAGAACATAATGGGCCAGGGTGTGAGACCTTAACATACCACATAGTTTACACTTCGTGTCATTATCATGAACATCTATCCCATATTCCCAGTAATATTTGTACCCAAGCCTAAGCCGCATATGTGCAGAGTCACTCCAAGCATTTCTCCTTTTACCATAAGTGAAATGGGTGTTTTGACTCACATACATGTAGTGTTGCATGGTTTGACTTCTCTCATACATTATATCTCTCCTCTCCACTTCTGCCTGTGCCTGAATATTTCTGATTTTGCTTCTTATTTGTCTCACTGTGAATTCACATTCAATGTCAATTTGTGTTTTTGATGTGACACGTTTGGCCAAGTCATCCGCCACCTCGTTGAGCACTATTCCAACATGAGATGGAATCCACATGAATTTCACACTATGACCTTTCAGCTGTATCTCAATTATCCTTTTCTTACATTCCTCAACTATGGACATGAAGACTGGGTTTCGACTGTTTAAGGAATCAAGTGCTCCTCGGCTATCGACAAATACAAAAACATTTTTTCTGATCAGGGGAAGGAAAACACCAACAGTATGGGGGCGTAAATTTATTAGTACAGGATAAATAATTCTGCAGAAGTAAAACAGGCTTCTAAGTAGGTCTTAACAATTGTATAACATAGCCGTGGCTAACTCAAAGTACACGAAACAACTTAAATTGTAATAGTAAAATAAAAGTAATCTTGTAACCTAGTAACAAACTCTGCAGAAACCTAATGGCCTATTGTCTAGAATTAGCAGTGAGGCGAATGTAACAAATCTAACTCTAAGTATAGCAGTCAGGACACCGTAAGTGAACAACATAACATAATGGAAACCCTAGCTGGAAAATAATCAGGCGGCAGAAAATTACATAGAGACTGGGAAAGCCTGATATGAATTTGGAGAAGAAAATAACCCCAGGCCAGAGGCCGAGCCGCCAAGGAATGAGGAGAAAGAATTTCCTGACTTAAGGTAGGGCTTACTAGTAGAATGTCTGTAAAGTCAAAGTAGTAGCTGCGGACAGCGGAACACTTGGGGACGGGCGCTGCCCCCCCCCCCCCCCGAAGGGCGAGTGCCCGCTGGCCGCGTGGGAAAACCTCAGGGTGGCAGAGCAACAACGCTACCGAACTGGGAAGGAAGGAGGACAGACTGGAGGAGCTCGCACGTCGCCTCGACTTATGCCCCCTGGCCCTGGCCCGTGGGCGACGGTCGGTGAAGGGGGCAGGGCGGCTGTGGCAGCCGCGGCAGGGTCGGCCTCGTGGTCCCCATGCCCAGAAGGCTTGTGACATGAGAGGGCCCCCGAGCCTGCGCGATGGGCGCCTGCAGCGTCGGCCGAAAGGGGTGGAGGCTGCGACGCTGTGCCACCTGCCGCTTTGCCGGAAGGGGGCCTCTGGGAAGTGTGGTCGCTGTCCATATCAGAGCCGCCTGAGGAGGCCCCCGAGGAGGGGGAGGCGAAACGGGCGGGTTTCGTCCTGGCCCAGGCCGGCTGTGTCCTCACACCACTGCGCTGTTGTCCTCGCACGACGCCGCCCGAGCCCTCTTCCGTGTTGCAGTTGCTGCGTGATCCGGCTTCTCGCCACTGCGGAAAATGAAAAAGTAAGCATCGGTAGGACTAACGGGAAAAAAGCAGGCAGGGAGACCCAGCTGCCGCACCAGCAACCGTCAGGTACACAAGTAGACAAAAGCAAAGGTAAAGTTAAGTGACCATAGAGAGTGAGAATACCGGACAGATAGCCAATGCTATCGTAATAAAAGCCAATGTAATAAAAGCTGAGCAGTTAAATAGATTAAGAGAGTAATATTCATGGATAGATTGAACAGTATTATTCATGGTATAGTTTGATTATATTAAGACCGTAATATTCATGGTATAGTTTGTTTATATTAGGACAGTATTATTCGTGGTATAGTTTGGAAGAATCCAAACAATATTAATCTCAAAAGTGAAAAGCAAAATTATTTGAGTTTTCTGCTCAGGGGGAAAAAGACGCCAACCGTTCTGGGCTTAAATTTATTACAAATTGGAGATGGTAAATTAAATTCTGCAGAACATGTAAATAATAAGTAGGAACAAATGTAACATATCCATGTCTACTGAGTACTAATATTTAACTTAAAATGGAACATATCCATGTCTACTGAGTACAAATATTTAACTTAAAATGTACACCCGTATTAATTGAGTAAGCTTAGCCTAGTGACATGGTAAACACGTTCTGCAGAAACCTAATGTCAATGTAATGTAATTATATGAAACTAGTTATAAAAGTCAGAACACAAATGGTCAATCAAGAGAATAGGCCACATAACACTTAACGGAGGCCGACCAGGAATAAGTAGAAGGGTTTCCTTACTAAAGGTAGGGCTTACTAGCACCTAGACTGGGCAAAGTATTAGCTGCGGACAGCGGGACACTTGGGGACCGGCGCTGCACCCCCCTTCCGCGCTTGCTGAGGGAAAGACTGGAGGGATACTGGCACAAACATGACAGGGGACTGCCACGCATGAAGGGGAGGCGGGTGGGTGTTCTCAGTTCAGCTGCGTTGGCGGTAAGAGTGAGGCAGAGCCTCTCGTTCCACTCCAATTTATAAGCTCCCAGAACTTCCCGCGCAGTCCGCAGAAGGCGCTGCGCAAATGTTTCTTTGTCCCCCTTTTCAGAAACATCTCCGCTTTGTTTCAAAGCAATGGCCATTTTCTGCTCAGAGGGAAAAAGACGCCAACCGTTCTGGGCTTAAATTTATTACAAATTGGAGATGGTAAATTAAATTCTGCAGAACATGTAAATAATAAGTAGGAACAAATGTAACATATCTATGTCTACTGAGTACTAATATTTAACTTAAAATGTAACATATCCATGTCTACTGAGTACAAATATTTAACTTAAAATGTACACCCGTATTAATTGAGTAAGCTTAGCCTAGTGACATGGTAAACACGTTCTGCAGAAACTTAATGTCAATGTAATGTAATTATATGAAACTAGTTTTAAGAGTCAGGACACAAATGGTCAATCAAGAGAATAGGCCACATAACACTTAATGGAGGCCGACCAGGAATAAGTAGAAGGGTTTCCTTACTAAAGGTAGGGCTTACTAGCACCTAGACTGGGCAAAGTATTAGCTGCGGATAGCGGGACACTTGGGGACCGGCGCTGCACCCCCACCGCAGGCCA